TCACGCCATTTCTCCCTGTGTTCCCCCCCCGGAGCCTGCTGAACTGTTGCAGGCTCTTTAGGAAGAGCATTGCAGTGGACTGCGGTGACGAGGCCGAGAATCTGCAGTCCAGTCTGTGAGTAGCGGGGGAGAGTTGTGTCCTTGGGATAAGCTGCTTCATCTCCCGCTTCTGGGTCGGGTATGAAATTCGGCCCTATCCGTTCTGCTTCGTTGGTGTTGACTGTCGCAGGTGTTACGTAACCGTTGTCGGCGAAGTGGTAGAAGACTTCGGCGTTGGCGCTTTCGCGAGGATTTTCTTCGTCCATGGGGACGTTGACGGAGCAGAACGGTAGAGGTCCGGCTTCTTCTGATGCGTTGTCGACGTTCTGCTCGTCCCAGTCTGCTTCGTCCGCTGCTGAGGCAAAGGCTCGGTCACCACGAAAGCCACCTGTGGGGTCCTGATTTTCGTGCAAGTTGGCGAGGTACGTCTGAAGCGTGAGTCGTTCGTAGAAGATCACGTCACGTGCTGCTACTGTTTCCTTGGAGTGGACGTCGAATATTTTCCACGCGTTGTAATTCTTTTCGATGCCGAGGTGTAGTCCCCATTGTGCGCGTTGTGAAAATCTTCCCGCTCGTGCTTCTGGCGGTCGGTACAGTACCATGCACCCGAAAACTCGTAACATTTTTGTGCTGCCCTGCTTCCCTGTCCAGAGCAGATGCGGTGATGCGTTGTTCGGAAGTGAGGACGACGACATCAAGTTGTGCAGCATGACAGCGTGGTCCATTGCTGCAGGCCACTGGTGGTTGGGTAGCCGCATGCCACGTAGCAGTTTGCGCATGCTGTTCTGCAGAGTCCTGTTCATTCTTTCTGCGACACCTTGCTGCTGATGGGCGTAGGGAAGGGAGAAGAGCTACTTGATTCCTCTTTCCGCCAGGTACTGCTTGAAGCGCTGAGAGGTGTATTCTCCTCCTCCGTCTGACTGGAAGCTTTTCAGCTGTGCTCCCGACTCTCTCTCTGCTACTGGTAGCCAGGCGGCGAACGCTGCGAGTGCCATGTCGCGGCTGGGTAGGTTTAGGTGCCAGACGTATCGAGTGGCGGCATCGATGAAGGTTATCGTGTAGTTGTAAGTAACTTGTCCTGGTTCTCGATTGAAGAGAATATCGCTGTACACCTTCTCGAGTGGTGCGTACGCGGGTGCGCTCTAGTTGTGGTGAGGAGTAAACGGTCGATGTGGTAAGTCGGCTTCGGGGCAGGTGAGGCAAGTTCCTTGTGCCCGTTGAAGTTCTTTGCCGTCGGGTAGTAGTAATGAATCCTTGTCTAGGACTCCTGCTCTTATTGTATTATTTGACACGGTGTTGCTTGGATGTCCCATGCGTGCGTGCCAGATGTCTTCGGAGGCGCGGTGTCCGGGTGAGCGTTGATACGCATCGGAGTTGGAGTAGAAGCTGGCGACGAAGTTTGCGCTTCTGCGGACTTCTCGTTGAGTTGGGTTCAGCTGCTGTGCGAGTGTTGGTGGTGCTTCGTCAACGAGAACTGGTGTCGCTGACGATGGTTCTGCTACTGCCGATGATGTTTCTGCTGCTGCCGATGTTGTCTCTGCTGCTTCTGCTGCTGCCGATGTTGTCTCTGCTGCTGCCGGATGTTGAATTGTTGCTAACGCGCGTGTTCGTTCTGCTTCAGGGATGGTATGCGAGTACTAGAAGCCTTTCGGGCTGAAGTCTGGATCAAGATCTGGAGGGTGCGTCCAGTCGGCGAAGTTCACGATGGCGTCGCTGTCTGCGGTGCCCAGGTCTGGGACGAAGTCAAGGACAAAGACGTTATTCTTCAGAACCGCCTTTCCGATGTAGAGGCCGCCCTTCCTGTGGTACAGTTTGAACTCCTGGGTGGTGCTGTCGGCTTCCAGGTGTATGCCTTTCGCCATCAGCTGACTGACGCTCAGTAAGTTGTAGCCGAGTCCCTCTGCTATTAGGACTTTCGACATTTGTAGTACGACGTTCGTCTCCCGTGACTGAAGCTGTACTATGCCTTGTCGTCTTGTTCGCAGGTTCTGATTATTGGCGACGGTGATGACGACTTCTCGTTGAAGTCGGTGCTCGCGTTGAACGAAACGTCCTGAGGAGCACATGTGTTGTCCGCAGCAACTGTCCAAGAATCAAGTGTCTCTTCCGGATGGCTCGCTTTGAGCGATGGCGGCGTATGTCGGGTTCGGCTGAAGTGACTCGCGGCGAGGTGTGGTTTCGTCAAGTCGTTCTTCTGGTGAGTAGTGCGGCGGTGATTCGGTGATGCAGGAATCTGTTGTCTTTGCCATGCAGTTGACGATGTTTCTTGCTCCTTGTGCAGGTTGTCCTGTTGGAGTCGTTGAGGTTTGAATCTTTGTCGTGGGAGTTGCTTGCGTTGAAGTGACTTGGGAGCTTGAAGGCCGAAGTTGTCACTGTGGTGTTGTCGATTGCTGGCGATACGGGCAGTGCGTACGAGGATGCCCTGAAGTCTTGCATATATGGCAAAACGGAGGCACTGGCTTCAATTGTTGTTGTTGTTGTAGCGTCGCTGGGTGTGAAACGCGAACTCTGGTACTGACGTTTTCTTCTTATGTCGTTCTTCTTGCAGGTCCATGTCCTGCTGTTGAGCATGGATTTCGGCGCAGAGTGCTGCTTCGGAGATTCTCTCGTGTGCCCGTAATATGGCGCGAGTGGAGCGCCAGTGAGGGCCAAGACCACCGATGACAACCGTGACAAAGGCGTCTTCTGAAATCGATCCTCCACATCGAAGAAGCTTGTCGCGCAGTTCGCGGCAGCGACTGATATATGCCATGCCCTTCTCGCCTGGTTTCATTTCGATTGTTGTCAGCTGCGCCATTAACCGGCTTTGGTTTACGCTGTCTGTTGCTTGATACAGGTTCTTCAAGTGGTTGTACGCGAGCTCCGCGGAGTTACCGTAACCTCGGTAAGTCCTTATGTTCTGCTGTTGAGTCGGGGTGATGTTCCTCAGTAGTATTGTGTACGCCATCATCGATTGATAGGTGTACTGCTGCTTCTCATACTGCGTGCCGTTTGTTGGATATGGCAGGGACCCGTCAAAGAAGCCAAGGATCTGCGCTCCTTCCATCATCAGCTCGAATTCGAACGACCAGGTAAAGAAATCCTTCCCGTCGAAAGGTTTTGTCGTTTGTAGTTTCAGAACATGCGCGAATTGCGACTGAACTTGTAGTGCGTCCAGTGCTCTTTCTTGTCCCGGTGCAGGTTGTGGTTGCAGCATGAAGCTGACGGAGCCGTGCTGGGGCTCGTACGGAGCGAAGGTAGGTTGTGATGTTGATTCCCGCGTGCGTAGGATGAGCCATCGAGACTCATGGGCGTCACGTTGTTGTTGTTGCTGCTGTTGTTTGATTGCGCAGGTACTCCTTGCTGATGCTGCTCGTAGAAGGACATGAAGGAGAAGAATTTCTCCATCATGCTTGGATCGAAGCCCGCGCCTTGGTTTGCGGGTGTTTCCGTAGACCCAGCTGCTGGTCTAGTTGTTGTCCCTTCCTCTGTCAGTAGGCCAGAGGCAGGAGGTGGTGTAGGGGTAGTACCGGGAGAGCCGTTGGAGGAGCTCCTCTCCTTTCTAGCAGACATGTCTTCTTGATCTATTAAGTGTTGAAGAGAAATTTTTAACTCTAACCAGCTCTCATACCATGTTGGGCTGAACGCCCTAGGATCTTTAGTAGAGTTAAAGTCTGAGTAAATGATGTAGTAGCGGAAGCGTTTGAATAAAGTCCTTGAACCACCTTGCGCTAGTATGTGAGGGCAAAGTAAGTTAATTAAAGCAAAGAGATACAGGAATATATATACCGTCATCGCCCGGATAGAAGACATATATGTCTTATCTTATACATTAGAAAAAAAGCTTGCTGTGTCTTGTAATTGGGACGATTTAGGGTGTCTTATAATTCTTATAAATGGACAAAAAACCGTTTATAAGATACCCCCTAGTCATAAGATTGCCCCTAATCCCTGTACTGGCTTAACTTGTACACACCGACAGTTGTCTTATAATCACGAACACCCATCTATAAGAAACACCCGTTTTAACGACACCCCATGTCTTCAATTCGACACTGTCTTATATCCGGGCGATGACGGTATGAGTACAGAGAATATGAAGAGACATAATTGTAACTGTTTTACTGTTGCGGTTCGATACAGTGCGACTCGGGCAACTGCTCAATGTCGAGTCAGTTGTGTGTCCTTGCTGTCGCGCTGCGTCAGGTCAAAGGTCGCTGACCTTTGACTTTCTCGTAACCTCTAGCGGTTACGTTAACCTCCGAGGGTTGACTCGCGGTGCTTCGATTTGAGCTGCTTTGCTTGTGTCTTGAGTTTCGACACGACAGAGGCGCTTAAGACTATTTGTTCCCAACAACCTCCACTCCACACCAGTAATTGTACCACCAATAATGCCAACTCCAACAAAGTCGTCCAAGAATGCAGCCCGTACAGTAATTCTACAGTAATTGTACAATTATTGTAAGGTCTAGAGGCTTATATAGGGGATTGCACTTAAACCTAACAGCAAGTAACTTTTCGTATGCTTTATATTTGCAACACTTCCCACATCAAAACCAAGACAAAGATAAAAAATTCAGAAAAGAATGCAAGGGAGACGTGAGAGGGGAGGGGGGAGGAGAGGGAGGCTTACATAACCTCTTTTAACTAGAAGGATGGGGTTGTGAACGAGAGAAATCTGATCCAGTCTAGACAAGAGAAGACTCTTCTGTTTCCACCTTGGCTGCTTCCATACTTCCCTCTTGAGAACTTGCCAGCCAGCTACCCTTCTTGGCGCCTGCTCAACAACCGTCATTGGAACCGTCCACCAACTGCCTCTCTAAACTTTCTGAGAAGCCCAGCAACAGCACAACATTCTCCTGCGCTGTGGCTATTGATTCAGGCCTCAAGGCTTGGCTCAATTGGCGGGTCAGGAAGGTACAGCGTCGACGCTGGGAGGTTCTGTTCTGCTGAATTGTTGCTGGAAGATTCTGAAACATCACTCAAAGCTTCTGAAACGTCATTGGAAGGTGTTGTGGTGGTGTTGAATTTTGCTGTGGGGATGCAGATGCCACGGAATGCACTGTAGCCCGGCTTGCACATGCACTCCATTTCGTTGCCTCCGGTGCGTTTGCCACACTCGGAGTTGGCAGGGCAGCCTGTAGTGACGCACGTGGGTTCTGCAGCACAGGCAAGGAGAGAGACGGCAGGTGAGCTCGAGGGTCCATCCAGACAGGGAGAGAAAGAGAGAGAAAGAGAGGTACGGTTAAATCCATACAAAGCTTACCGGAACGCTGGCATGTGTTGCTGACAGCAGTGTAGCCTTTGAAGCACTGGCACGTCACTGCCAAGCGATCGTCGGTGGTTGGGCTGCATGCGATGGAGTTGGCAGGGCAGCGCACATACTGGCAGATGTCGTCTGCAGCACAGCGCAGCGCGAAAGGGGGGAAAGGGAAGGCAGAGATGAGGCACCCACCCACTCGTGCGCTGTGCAGCGCAACAAACTGGGCTGTGCGGGTGAGAGCGCGGAGTCAGTGTGAGGGGACGACTATGCAGGGTATTCTCGAGACTTCTCAAAATGGCCCTGGAGTGGAATGGAGGAGAGGCGGGCGGGGCAAGGCAAGCGGGGACGCACCAATGATGCAGAGGGCGGACTTGGCTGCACCGGAGATATACTTGGCACTACAGCACACAGGGGGGGGGCAAGAGTGCAACGGTCGATGGTCAGGTGGGGGAGCAAACGAGCGGCGTGAAAAGCATACGAGCATGGAAGCAGGGCGAGCAGGAACGAAAGGTGCACCTCTTCCTGCCCATGGCGAAAACGTCCAACATCTGCCCTTTGCAATGGGAATCCTGGAAGATCCGAATTGCGCGGCACTCAGCACTGCCAGCATCGCTTCTTTGATGCCACAGCACCTCCACCTGCGTCCTCACAGAAGCCGGCATGGCAGTAAAGTTGACACAGCGGCGCGACGCGAAGCTTAATAGGCGGCTGTGGATCACCATTTGTGTGACAATCCGCATTGGGACCGATACGCTCGCTGCTGCTAGCGACGGCTGCAGGAGACACGCTGCAAGAGAGGGGCATGAGGCATGATGGGGCACGGACGCATGGGAGTGTTCATTGGGCATCCATCACGTGTACCCACTGTCGTGTGGAGCATTAACTCATGACGGCGTGAACACCATGATGCGCATGAGAGCACGGCGAGAGAGCGACGCGCACGGAGCGTACCGGCGATGACGGTGACGATGGCGAGAAGCGCAAGCACGGCCTTGCCATTCCCCATGCTGACGGACGCCATTGGCTCTTCGCTTTTGAGTGCCACGAGTAATCCGAGAGTAATCCGAGAGCAGGAGTAGAGCAGGAGTGTGAAGCGGAGCAATCCGAGAGAAAGAGTGCTAGAGGAAGATTGGTGCTAACTGGTAAAGCAGACGAGGTGACGAGAGCGATCGTTCACGGATGCTTAAATGGGCATCGCAGCGAGCCTAGTGTGCGGCGCATCATCCGCTCCACGGAGCTTCCGTGCGAGGCGGGAGGGACCTCTGTGGCGGGACGCAGTGCTGACTGCTGCGACAGAAATCGCTGCGGGGAACGCGTTCCCTTAGTCGCCATCGAGCCTTCTAATGGGCGTTTCGTAAGGTGTGTGCGAAGGTGACCATGTTGGCGAAAGCAAAAACGGAACATGATTTTTTGGACAAGGAATTATTGGAGGGAAGGAAGACGCCTCGTATTAAGGGCCCGTTCCCAACCACAGTGAAGGGTGGGCTCCGCCCGACACTTAGGATCCACATTCACGGTCACCACAATGTTTGCCGGACTTATTGGTTAAAAAGTCAAGCGGAATGTTGACTCCTAGCTGGAGAGCCCCAGTCCTGCTAACTTCGGATCTTGCAAATATCACTGTCGCCAACTAGGGCCTGGACAAGGCGGTCGCTAGCGAATCTCTCGCAAGCCCGCAACTGGCCATGTGCGACCGCTGCGACAGAAGTCGCTGCAAGGAAGGTGTTGCTCAGGCAGGCACCATTGTGGGCTTCGATCGGGTGTATCCCGCGAGAGCAAATTCAAGGGAGGAAAACTGTTACGGGTGCAATGAATCGAAGTAGCGAGAATTGCACCAAGGTGTCAAACGAGTACAAAATGTGAGCGAAGGCATGAGCGAACATTTATACGCGAAACATGCAAAACGGTAACGCGGTGCGTGCGAGCTTGCTAGTGCTACGCTGGAGCGAGGCTCGGGCTAGTCCCGAAGCGTAGGCCGATACGGCCATGCCAGCAGTGCGAGGTTTGGCAAAACAGTGCGCGCGAAGTCGGCGAAGTTCCGTTAGCAGTAACGGGCGAACAATCGGCTGTTGCTGTACGCGATGTAGTCGGCCCCGTAAGGAATGCCGAGAAAATTCCTTACACTACCCCCCCCCTTAAGAAGCCCCCTCCGCTACGCGAGTGCGTGTATATCGCGGAATCCCCTGAGAAGAAGTGAACGAGAATGAATCAACTATAAATGAAGTGAACACATATAGCAAACCTGATTGGGTTGTACCCCCTATGGGATACCCCACTATAGCCTACACAAATATATATAAGCTATAATGTTCTGACACACCCCCATAGGCAAAGTGGGGGAGAACAAGGGGTCACAAGACCAGTCAAGCAAAGCAAAGCAAAGCTCAGGGTGGATCACAAAGTCACCACACATTCCGAGCACAAGTTCAAAGGCCAGAAGGCCAGTTCACATGCAAGATCATATATAGAGATATACAAGAGTCAAGTAGGCAAGAGCAAGGGTATATATAGGTGAAGGTACAAGTAAAGTCAAGAAGTGAGCAAGTGTGGCAAGACAGGCACAAGACCCAACTGCGTGCAACAACGCTGATGATCACAAGGCGCAAGTGCCTTGGTGAAGACATCAGCAGTGTTGGCCTCAGAGGCCACGTACGCAAGTCGCAACTGTCCACGCTGCTGTAGCTCACGAGCAAGAAAGTAGCGGAGAGCAATGTGCTTCGTCCTGTGCTCCAGACGCTGCTCTCGACACAAGGCCAGCATGGCCTTGTTGTCTACGTACAGGACTGGAGGAGAACGAGGCTGCTCTCCAAGGTCGGTCAGCAGGTAGGTGAGCCAGCGTAACTCCTGTGCAGCCATAGCCCCAGCGTAGATCTCAGCCTCACAACTGGAGCCGAGAACAGAAGACGAGCGGGTAGCCCGCCACGAGACAGAGCCGGAACCAAGGCTGAAGGTGTAACCCTGTGACGACCGCTGCGTAGCCTGGTCGTCAGCCCAAGAAGCGTCTGCGTGCCCAGTGAGGACCACCGGACTGCGCCCTCCAAGCACTAGCCCCATGCCCGACGTACTGCACAAGTAGCGCAACACCCTCTTCGCTGCAGCCATGTGCTCTGGTCGGTGTCCCCCAGGAGCAACAAAGCGTGCGAGAATGCTAAGAGGGTATGCGAGGTCAGGTCGTGTGCAGGTCATCAGGTACATGAGGCAGCCAACAAGCTCTGCAAACGGGCCACTCGACTCTACGGACTCATCCGAAGGCAGAGCTGAGAGCGAGTGGCGAGTAGGCAGAGGAGTGGCCTGAGGCGAGGAGTACGTGAAGCCGAAGCGCTGAAGGACCTGCTGCACCATGTGTGACTGAGTCAGGGTAATGGTGCGGCGTGCTCTGTCCCGGGTGATCTGCAAGCCAAGGTAGCTGCGCAGTTCACCCAGGTCAGTGCACGTGTGTCTCTTCTGCAGCTCGGACTTCACGTAGGCGAGTCGAGCAGTGTCAGCTGTGGCAAAGACCAAGTCGTCGACGTACACGAGGATGTAGAACGGCGGCAGAGAGGTGTCGGTGCGCAGAAACAGCGACGGGTCGGCAGTGGAAGGAGCAAACCCAAGTGCCGCGAGCGTAGTCCTCAGTGTGTCGTGCCACTCACGTGGCGCCTGGCGGAGACCGTAGACTGGACGCCGGAGACTCCACTGGGTACCAGGAGGGAAAGACCCAGTGAAGCCAGGTGGGCGACGCAGCCAGATCTCCTCGTGCAGGCTGCCCTGCAAGAAAGCTGTGCTGAAGTCGAGAGAGTGCAGCTCGTAGTCACGGTGAGCAGCAACGTGCAGCAGAACCCGAAGAGTGGTCATCTTCGGGGTGGGGGAGAAGGTCTGAAAGTAGTCAACCCCCTGCCGCTGACTGAAGCCACGAGCCACGTAACGCGCCTTGAAGACAGGCGGAGAACCCGGCGGCCGCTTCACCCTGAAAATCCACATGCCACTGACGATGTTCGCCCCAGGAGGGGGAACAGCGTCAACGTAGGTGCCTGTGGAATTCCAGGAAGCCATCTCTGCATCCATAGCTGCCTGCCACTGAGAGGAGTAGGGACCCTCTATCGCCTCCGCGTAAGAGCGCGGAGTCGGGATGTCTGGTGCATCCGGGTCTCCCTCAGGGGCTAGCAGTACAGACGCGAGACGAGGTGAAGCGGCGGCCAGACACTGGAACTCCTCCTGCCTGTCCTCAAGGACGGGGCCGCGAGGCAGAGGGCGGCGGGGCCGCGTAGCCGAGGGCGGCGGGGCCGCGATCGAAGGGCGGCGGCGGGGCCGCGTAGCAGAGGGCGGGGGGGCCGCGATCGAAGGGCGGCGGGGCCGCTAGGGAAGGGCGGCGGAGCCGCGAGGGGAAGGGCGGCGCAACGGTCCGCTAGGGGCGACACGACGGGTCGCTAAAAAAAACGCGCCTCGGGGCGCGGTTCGGTGGGCCCTAGAAGCAGTCCCTAGGAGGGAACCTGCTCTGATTCCATGTGGAAACAAAGAACGAGAATGGAATGACTATGAACGAAGTGAGTACAAATAGGAAACCCTAATTGTGTTGTACCCCCTATGGGATACCCCACTATAGCCTACAGAAACAAGTAAGCTATAAGTTCTGACAACTGCTGCTTCTCATACTGCGTGCCGTTTGTTGGATATGGCAGGGACCCGTCGAAGAAGCCAAGGATCTGCGCTCCTTCCATCATCAGCTCGAATTCGAACGACCAGGTAAAGAAATCCTTCCCGTCGAAAGGTTTTGTCGTTTGTAGTTTCAGAACATGCGCGAATTGCGACTGAACTTGTAGTGCGTCCAGTGCTCTTTCTTGTCCCGGTGCAGGTTGTGGTTGCGGCATGAAGCTGACGGAGCCGCGCTGGGGCTCGTACGGAGCGAAGGTAGGTTGTTGATGTTGATTCCCGCGTGCGTAGGATGAGCCATCGAGACTCATGGGCGTCACGTTGTTGTTGTTGCTGCTGTTGTTTGATTGCGCAGGTACTCCTTGCTGATGCTGCTCGTAGAAGGACATGAAGGAGAAGAATTTCTCCATCATGCTTGGATCGAAGCCCGCGCCTTGGTTTGCGGGTGTTTCCGTAGACCCAGCTGCTGGTCTAGCTGTTGTCCCTTCCTCTGTCAGTAGGCCAGAGGCAGGAGGTGGTGTAGGGGTAGTACCGGGAGAGCCGTTGGAGGAGCTCCTCTCCTTTCTAGCAGACATGTCTTCTTGATGTATTAAGTGTTGAAGAGAAATTTTTAACTCTAACCAGCTCTCATACCATATTGGGCTGAACGCCCTAGGATCTTTAGTAGAGTTAAAGTCTGAGTAAATGATGTAGTAGCGGAAGCGTTTGAATAAAGTCCTTGAACCACCTTGCGCTAGTATGTGAGGGCAAAGTAAGTTAATTAAAGCAAAGAGATACAGGAATATATATATGAGTACAGAGAATATGAAGAGACATAATTGTAACTGTTTTACTGTTGCGGTTCGATACAGTGCGACTCGGGCAACTGCTAAATGTCGAGTCAGTTGTGTGTCCTTGCTGTCGCGCTGCGTTAGGTCAAAGGTTGCTGACCTTTGACTTTCTCGTAACCTCTAGCGGTTACGTTAACCTCCGAGGGTTGACTCACGGTGCTTCGATTTGAGCTGCTTCGCTTGTGTCTTGAGTTTCGACACGACAGAGGCGCTTAAGACTATTTGTTCCCAACAACCTCCACTCCACACCAGTAATTGTACCACCAATAATGCCAACTCCAACAAAGTCGTCCAAGAATGCAGCCCGTACAGTAATTGTACAATTATTGTACAATTATTGTACAATTATTGTAAGGTCTAGAGGCTTACATAGGGGATTGCACTTAAACCTAACAGCAAGTAACTTTTCGTATGCTTTATATTTGCAACACTTCCCACATCAAAACCAAGACAAAGATAAAAAATTCAGAAAAGAATGCAAGGGAGACGTGAGAGGGGAGGGGGGAGGAGAGGGAGGCTTACATAACCTCTTTTAACTAGAAGGATGGGGTTGTGAACGAGAGAAATCTGATCCAGTCTAGACAAGAGAAGACTCTTCTGTTTCCACCTTGGCTGCTTCCATACTTCCCTCTTGAGAACTTGCCAGCCAGCTACCCTTCTTGGCGCCTGCTCAACAACCGTCATTGGAACCGTCCACCAACTGCCTCTCTAAACTTTCTGAGAAGCCCAGCAACAGCACAACATTCTCCTGCGCTGTGGCTATTGATTCAGGCCTCAAGGCTTGGCTCAATTGGCGGGTCAGGAAGGTACAGCGTCGACGCTGGGAGGTTCTGTTCTGCTGAATTGTTGCTGGAAGATTCTGAAACATCACTCAAAGCTTCTGAAACGTCATTGGAAGGTGTTGTGGTGGTGTTGAATTTTGCTGTGGGGATGCAGATGCCACGGAATGCACTGTAGCCCGGCTTGCACATGCACTCCATTTCGTTGCCTCCGGTGCGTTTGCCACACTCGGAGTTGGCAGGGCAGCCTGTAGTGACGCACGTGGGTTCTGCAGCACAGGCAAGGAGAGAGACGGCAGGTGAGCTCGAGGGTCCATCCAGACAGGGAGAGAAAGAGAGAGAAAGAGAGGTACGGTTAAATCCATACAAAGCTTACCGGAACGCTGGCATGTGTTGCTGACAGCAGTGTAGCCTTTGAAGCACTGGCACGTCACTGCCAAGCGATCGTCGGTGGTTGGGCTGCATGCGATGGAGTTGGCAGGGCAGCGCACATACTGGCAGATGTCGTCTGCAGCACAGCGCAGCGCGAAAGGGGGGAAAGGGAAGGCAGAGATGAGGCACCCACCCACTCGTGCGCTGTGCAGCGCAACAAACTGGGCTGTGCGGGTGAGAGCGCGGAGTCAGTGTGAGGGGACGACTATGCAGGGTATTCTCGAGACTTCTCAAAATGGCCCTGGAGTGGAATGGAGGAGAGGCGGGCGGGGCAAGGCAAGCGGGGACGCACCAATGATGCAGAGGGCGGACTTGGCTGCACCGGAGATATACTTGGCACTACAGCACACAGGGGGGGGGCAAGAGTGCAACGGTCGATGGTCAGGTGGGGGAGCAAACGAGCGGCGTGAAAAGCATACGAGCATGGAAGCAGGGCGAGCAGGAACGAAAGGTGCACCTCTTCCTGCCCATGGCGAAAACGTCCAACATCTGCCCTTTGCAATGGGAATCCTGGAAGATCCGAATTGCGCGGCACTCAGCACTGCCAGCATCGCTTCTTTGATGCCACAGCACCTCCACCTGCGTCCTCACAGAAGCCGGCATGGCAGTAAAGTTGACACAGCGGCGCGACGCGAAGCTTAATAGGCGGCTGTGGATCACCATTTGTGTGACAATCCGCATTGGGACCGATACGCTCGCTGCTGCTAGCGACGGCTGCAGGAGACACGCTGCAAGAGAGGGGCATGAGGCATGATGGGGCACGGACGCATGGGAGTGTTCATTGGGCATCCATCACGTGTACCCACTGTCGTGTGGAGCATTAACTCATGACGGCGTGAACACCATGATGCGCATGAGAGCACGGCGAGAGAGCGACGCGCACGGAGCGTACCGGCGATGACGGTGACGATGGCGAGAAGCGCAAGCACGGCCTTGCCATTCCCCATGCTGACGGACGCCATTGGCTCTTCGCTCTTGAGTGCCACGAGTAATCCGAGAGTAATCCGAGAGCAGGAGTAGAGCAGGAGTGTGAAGCGGAGCAATCCGAGAGAAAGAGTGCTAGAGGAAGATTGGTGCTAACTGGTAAAGCAGACGAGGTGACGAGAGCGATCGTTCACGGATGCTTAAATGGGCATCGCAGCGAGCCTAGTGTGCGGCGCATCATCCGCTCCACGGAGCTTCCGTGCGAGGCGGGAGGGACCTCTGTGGCGGGACGCAGTGCTGACTGCTGCGACAGAAATCGCTGCGGGGAACGCGTTCCCTTAGTCGCCATCGAGCCTTCTAATGGGCGTTTCGTAAGGTGTGTGCGAAGGTGACCATGTTGGCGAAAGCAAAAACGGAACATGATTTTTTGGACAAGGAATTATTGGAGGGAAGGAAGACGCCTCGTATTAAGGGCCCGTTCCCAACCACAGTGAAGGGTGGGCTCCGCCCGACACTTAGGATCCACATTCACGGTCACCACAATGTTTGCCGGACTTATTGGTTAAAAAGTCAAGCGGAATGTTGACTCCTAGCTGGAGAGCCCCAGTCCTGCTAACTTCGGATCTTGCAAATATCACTGTCGCCAACTAGGGCCTGGACAAGGCGGTCGCTAGCGAATCTCTCGCAAGCCCGCAACTGGCCATGTGCGACCGCTGCGACAGAAGTCGCTGCAAGGAAGGTGTTGCTCAGGCAGGCACCATTGTGGGCTTCGATCGGGTGTATCCCGCGAGAGCAAATTCAAGGGAGGAAAACTGTTACGGGTGCAATGAATCGAAGTAGCGAGAATTGCACTAAGGTGTCAAACGAGTACAAAATGTGAGCGAAGGCATGAGCGAACATTTATACGCGAAACATGCAAAACGGTAACGCGGTGCGTGCGAGCTTGCTAGTGCTACGCTGGAGCGAGGCTCGGGCTAGTCCCGAAGCGTAGGCCGATACGGCCATGCCAGCAGTGCGAGGTTTGGCAAAACAGTGCGCGCGAAGTCGGCGAAGTTCCGTTAGCAGTAACGGGCGAACAATCGGCTGTTGCTGTACGCGATGTAGTCGGCCCCGTAAGGAATGCCGAGAAAATTCCTTACACTACCCCCCCCCTTAAGAAGCCCCCTCCGCTACGCGAGTGCGTGTATATCGCGGAATCCCCTGAGAAGAAGTGAACGAGAATGAATCAACTATAAATGAAGTGAACACATATAGCAAACCTGATTGGGTTGTACCCCCTATGGGATACCCCACTATAGCCTACACAAATATATATAAGCTATCATGTTCTGACACACCCCCATAGGCAAAGTGGGGGAGAACAAGGGGTCACAAGACCAGTCAAGCAAAGCAAAGCAAAGCTCAGGGTGGATCACAAAGTCACCACACATTCCGAGCACAAGTTCAAAGGCCAGAAGGCCAGTTCACATGCAAGATCATATATAGAGATATACAAGAGTCAAGTAGGCAAGAGCAAGGGTATATATAGGTGAAGGTACAAGTAAAGTCAAGAAGTGAGCAAGTGTGGCAAGACAGGCACAAGACCCAACTGCGTGCAACAACGCTGATGATCACAAGGCGCAAGTGCCTTGGTGAAGACATCAGCAGTGTTGGCCTCAGAGGCCACGTACGCAAGTAGCAACTGTCCACGCTGCTGTAGCTCACGAGCAAGAAAGTAGCGGAGAGCAGTGTGCTTCGTCCTGTGCTCCAGACGCTGCTCTCGACACAAGGCCAGCATGGCCTTGTTGTCTACGTACAGGACTGGAGGAGAACGAGGCTGCTCTCCAAGGTCGGTCAGCAGGTAGGTGAGCCAGCGTAACTCCTGTGCAGCCATAGCCCCAGCGTAGATCTCAGCCTCACAACTGGAGCCGAGAACAGAAGACGAGCGGGTAGCCCGCCACGAGACAGAGCCGGAACCAAGGCTGAAGGTGTAACCCTGTGACGACCGCTGCGTAGCCTGGTCGTCAGCCCAAGAAGCGTCTGCGTGCCCAGTGAGGACCACCGGACTGCGCCCTCCAAGCACTAGCCCCATGCCCGACGTACTGCACAAGTAGCGCAACACCCTCTTCGCTGCAGCCATGTGCTCTGGTCGGTGTCCCCCAGGAGCAACAAAGCGTGCGAGAATGCTAAGAGGGTATGCGAGGTCAGGTCGTGTGCAGGTCATCAGGTACATGAGGCAGCCAACAAGCTCTGCAAACGGGCCACTCGACTCTACGGACTCATCCGAAGGCAGAGCTGAGAGCGAGTGGCGAGTAGGCAGAGGAGTGGCCTGAGGCGAGGAGTACGTGAAGCCGAAGCGCTGAAGGACCTGCTGCACCATGTGTGACTGAGTCAAGGTAATGGTGCGGCGTGCTCTGTCCCGGGTGATCTGCAAGCCAAGGTAGCTGCGCAGTTCACCCAGGTCAGTGCACGTGTGTCTCTTCTGCAGCTCGGACTTCACGTAGGCGAGTCCAGCAGTGTCAGCTGTGGCAAAGACCAAGTCGTCGACGTACACGAGGATGTAGAACGGCGGCAGAGAGGTGTCGGTGCGCAGAAACAGCGACGGGTCGGCAGTGGAAGGAGCAAACCCAAGTGCCGCGAGCGTAGTCCTCAGTGTGTCGTGCCACTCACGTGGCGCCTGGCGGAGACCGTAGACTGGACGCCGGAGACTCCACTGGGTACCAGGAGGGAAAGACCCAGTGAAGCCAGGTGGGCGACGCAGCCAGATCTCCTCGTGCAGGCTGCCCTGCAAGAAAGCTGTGCTGAAGTCGAGAGAGTGCAGCTCGTAGTCACGGTGAGCAGCAACGTGCAGCAGAACCCGAAGAGTGGTCATCTTCGGGGTGGGGGAGAAGGTCTGAAAGTAGTCAACCCCCTGCCGCTGACTGAAGCCACGAGCCACGTAACGCGCCTTGAAGACAGGCGGAGAACCCGGCGGCCGCTTCACCCTGAAAATCCACATGCCACTGACGATGTTCGCCCCAGGAGGGGGAACAGCGTCAACGTAGGTGCCTGTGGAATTCCAGGAAGCCATCTCTGCATCCATAGCTGCCTGCCACTGAGAGGAGTAGGGACCCTCTATCGCCTCCGCGTAAGAGCGCGGAGTCGGGATGTCTGGTGCATCCGGGTCTCCCTCAGGGGCTAGCAGTACAGACGCGAGACGAGGTGAAGCGGCGGCCAGACACTGGAACTCCTCCTGCCTGTCCTCAAGGACGGGGCCGCGAGGCAGAGGGCGGCGGGGCCGCGTAGCCGAGGGCGGCGGGGCCGCGATCGAAGGGCGGCGGCGGGGCCGCGTAGCAGAGGGCGGGGGGGCCGCGATCGAAGGGCGGCGGGGCCGCTAGGGAAGGGCGGCGGAGCCGCGAGGGGAAGGGCGGCGCAACGGTCCGCTAGGGGCGACACGACGGGTCGCTAAAAAAAAACGCGCCTCGGGGCGCGGTTCGGTGGGCCCTAGAAGCAGTCCCTAGGAGGGAACCTGCTCTGATTCCATGTGGAAACAAAGAACGAGAATGGAATGACTATGAACGAAGTGAGTACAAATAGGAAACCCTAATTGTGTTGTACCCCCTATGGGATACCCCACTATAGCCTACAGAAACAAGTAAGCTATAAGTTCTGACAACTGCTGCTTCTCATACTGCGTGCCGTTTGTTGGATATGGCAGGGACCCGTCGAAGAAGCCAAGGATCTGCGCTCCTTCCATCATCAGCTCGAATTCGAACGACCAGGTAAAGAAATCCTTCCCGTCGAAAGGTTTTGTCGTTTGTAGTTTCAGAACATGCGCGAATTGCGACTGAACTTGTAGTGCGTCCAGTGCTCTTTCTTGTCCCGGTGCAGGTTGTGGTTGCGGCATGAAGCTGACGGAGCCGCGCTGGGGCTCGTACGGAGCGAAGGTAGGTTGTTGATGTTGATTCCCGCGTGCGTAGGATGAGCCATCGAGACTCATGGGCGTCACGTTGTTGTTGTTGCTGCTGTTGTTTGATTGCGCAGGTACTCCTTGCTGATGCTGCTCGTAGAAGGACATGAAGGAGAAGAATTTCTCCATCATGCTTGGATCGTAGCCCGCGCCTTGGTTTGCGGGTGTTTCCGTAGACCCAGCTGCTGGTCTAGCTGTTGTCCCTTCCTCTGTCAGTAGGCCAGAGGCAGGAGGTGGTGTAGGGGTAGTACCAGGAGAGCCGTTGGAGGAGCTCCTCTCCTTTCTAGCAGACATGTCTTCTTGATGTATTAAGTGTTGAAGAGAAATTTTTAACTCTAACCAGCTCTCATACCATATTGGGCTGAACGCCCTAGGATCTTTAGTAGAGTTAAAGTCTGAGTAAATGATGTAGTAGCGGAAGCATTTGAATAAAGTCCTTGAACCACCTTGCGCTAGTATGTGAGGGCAAAGTAAGTTAATTAAAGCAAAGAGATACAGGAATATATATATGAGTACAGAGAATATGAAGAGACATAATTGTAACTGTTTTACTGTTGCGGTTCGATACAGTGCGACTCGGGCAACTGCTCAATGTCGAGTCAGTTGTGTGTCCTTGCTGTCGCGCTGCGTTAGGTCAAAGGTTGCTGACCTTTGACTTTCTCGTAACCTCTAGCGGTTACGTTAACCTCCGAGGGTTGACTCGCGGTGCTTCGATTTGAGCTGCTTCGCTTGTGTCTTGAGTTTCGACACGACAGAGGCGCTTAAGACTATTTGTTCCCAACAACCTCCACTCCACACCAGTAATTGTACCACCAATAATGCCAACTCCAACAAAGTCGTCCAAGAATGCAGCCCGTACAGTAATTGTACAATTATTGTACAATTATTGTACAATTATTGTAAGGTCTAGAGGCTTACATAGGGGATTGCACTTAAACCTAACAGCAAGTAACTTTTCGTATGCTTTATATTTGCAACACTTCCCACATCAAAACCAAGACAAAGATAAAAAATTCAGAAAAGAATGCAAGGGAGACGTGAGAGGGGAGGGGGGAGGAGAGGGAGGCTTACATAACCTCTTTTAACTAGAAGGATGGGGTTGTGAACGAG